AGAATTTCCTTGCAGAAATATTAAGGATTTGTTATCTTGGTTTCTGATATTACGGCTATGTTCTTTAACTCTTATGTCTATTGATCTGCTGGTCTCTCCTATGTAAGAGATATTATTGAAAGGAGATGGAGTATATGTTTGTTTCTCGTCTCTGTATTATTATTGGATTTGAGGTTTCTAATAATGAGCTGGCCTATGGTTCGGGAATTTCTAAATAAGCATTTTATACCATATTTCCTCAATTCATGGGATATTGTGTGGTTTTCCCACTATGTACTAAGTGCAATTCTCAACCTGCAACCCCAAAACACATCATTGACTGTATTAACTCATCCATTGATGAGCTCTACTCTTCCCCGGCAGACAACATCAAAAGTCTCAAGCTTTACAAGCTTGATACCCTGAAATGATTGAGTGGAGATAATAAAGAATATGGGATATTGTATTATTATTGGTTATATATATATAGCATATAATATATGAATATATTAAATACGCGAATCACACAATAAGTAACACGACCAAATGTATTCTAACTTTCTATATATTTTCAGTGTTGAGCGGTTAACCAAAAATCCATTAGTATCATAAATATATAACCAGACGACCCTCAATTGTCCAATAGAACTGATCGATTTCAGATAATCGATGTATTTTAGGTAACCCCCTCTCTATATTTTAAGTAGAAATTTACACCACGTTTCTATGATTACACGAATCATATTTATTTCAAATAGAGGTATTTGAACAAATTTCTATTTTATTTATTTAATGCTTATGATTATTGTTGTATAGATGTTTTAAGAGAAGCCTGTTTGTCAAGTCTTTGATGGCACTGGTTTTACGACGTTTTAAAAAAGGTTTTAAGAATTTATTGTTGATGCATATATCACCATAAATCTTTTGCAAACTTTTATATTTGGTTGAAATTTTGAAAATTGAAGTTTTTTTTCAATAGTGACTAAGAATTTTCATAGAGCTAAAAAATACTCTTGAAAACATGCATATTAAATAACGTTTCTTAGCGAATTTGAACCTTGTAAAACCAAACAATTCTAAATTATTTTAATGGCTAATAATTTCATTTAGACATGCTTAGATTGTCTATAAATTTTCCCTCCTTATAAATATACACATGAGACGTAAATTGAATATTCTATCCAATGAATTATAACCCCCTGTATCAGTATTAAGAGGTAAAAACATCATGCTTCTAGGGATAAATTTATTTATTTTTTAAAATTTTAATTCAAATATCGAGTTTCTTCGGGCATGAAAGCCCTTTTACAGGAGAAACACGATACAATAAATGTGATTTGAATATAAATATTGAATTTTTTAATTGAGAGAGAGAATTTTAAAAAGATTGAAAAATCTCTGGCAGTCTATGTGTGATGATGGTGTAGCAACAATGGTTACACCTTAAAAATCTTCTATATAAAAACGATTTTAGAATTACAAAATTCAATATCATTTTGAAATTGTTTGTATATTGAAGATTGAGCATCGTGTTTATTTGTGAAAAAAAAAGCAAATTTACCAAAGCTTAGAAAGGTTAAAATCATTAGCGATTAAATGAACTTGGATTTGTGTTGAGGAAAGGCTTCGAATCCTTGTTATCTTTGCATGATAACAGTGTGAGTTCAATTTAGCAAGATATTATGATAGAATATTTTTGAATTGTGTCAAAGATAGGATTGTTTTAATTAAAATGATGACCTTACTAAGTAGCTGAAGATATTTCAAAATAGCGTTATTCAAATGTCCATTTTGTTAAGAATCTAGGCCAAATTTTAAATATATATGCATAAATTATCTTTCAAAGCATTGTCAAACTTTCACTCAAAGTTTGAATGAAATGAGAGTTGGATTGATTTAAAAGTTTTAATGCAAAATTCAAAAGAATAAATGCAAAAATCAGTTTATTAGAATTATACAATAGTTTTTAACGCTCTATTGAGAAAACTTTACCAAAGCGTTATCACAAACGCATTATAAATATATAAAGCTATTAGAACATTAGTAGCACCTGTTTCACATGTAACAGAGAATCCCGAGGATTTCCCAAGCGGAAATGGCAAACTTTCACTTAATTTTTCAAAACAAAAATAGCCACCTAAAAATACGCCAAGATGACCAAATCGGTGAGACCTATGTGTATATGCACGCAACGGCGATTAAAAAGAACTGATACGTCAATAGCGTTGAGACGAAAAAGGGAAAATTTTCTTCTTCTTTCTTATCTCCACTCAAACCTATTAGGGTACCAAGCCTGTAGAGTTCGAGATTTTTGAAGGTGTCTGGTAATGAGTAGAACTCCTCAAAGAAGATTTGACATCCATAATGATTGGGTGAAGTTGAATGTGTCTGCCATTGTCATTAAGACTGGGAGCACTACTCAGTAACTAAGGCCGACTTAGCTCCAATATGAAATGGCCGCCTCTGACATGAGCTACAGATGCCATGTACAGCCACTCCTAACATGGAGTACAAACTCATCTTGTATCCCTGGATCAGAAGCCCTTACAGGGTACTATCAGCCAGGCCAGTTGAGACCAGGTTTTTTAGCAAGCTTGTTACTGTTCCCCCTCCTCCGTTTTCATCCGGGCTTGGGACCAGCAAAGGCGGAGTTAAAAGAACATATGATACTAAGTAGAAAAAGAACGTCATATAAATCAACTAAAGCATAGTACATTATTAGGTTAGTATTTCATTAAACAAATCTCTCGCCTTTATTTACAGACACTTGAAACTACCAATGGTTCAACTTTTCACAATAGACTAATAACGAATTTCTTGTGGTATCTTGACTTAAATATCTTCGACATTCCACCAGCTAATCAACATATTTCTATCTCAAAAAAGCGAAGATTACCAGAAAAAAGCCCAGCACCTTGCGTGCGAACGACACAAAAAAAAACAGGAGCATTAGGCCAATCGGGAAGTGAAAAGCTTTCAGGCAATCAAACAATTTCGAACAAAACTTGGAGACTCGCCCAAAAGCATTCGTGTTTTGCCTCTAGCTAAATTGGCTCTAAGTGGGTCCTAATGGTTACATCTTTGGTTGTAATGTCTTGTACAGCGTCAGCCATTGTTACTTAGCTTTCTTTATGGTTCCTTCTATAGCATTGTATAAACATCATAGCTGGAAATATCAATGTGATTTTCTCTAATGTTTTCTAGTCTGTTCTTAGAAGGAACCAACTTTCGAGACACGCCTACCGTACATAATAAATGACAACAGAAAGTGCACATAATTCTTTATAGAACGTTTTTGGAATTTACACTCATGGACTTAAGTGGAGAGTCTGTCGACGGCAGTCTGTTTTTTTTAAGGAGAACAAAGGAAATTTCGTTCACACTTGGTTATCTCGTGTGAGTTCATTAAAGGTCACCGTGTATCAGATATATTTCATAATTATTTTCGATTTCTTCTGGGTATAATACCTTTCCACTAGTGTATTTTATTTTTTATAAACTGTGATGCTGTTACACAGCTGTCGTAAAGGTTGAGATATATTTACATAAACTCATGTACAAAAACTAAAGGAATTGGAAAGTATTTGATATCGTCGGTCGTCTATTTTTTTGGAAAAAGACAGAGGCAATTTTGTTCACACTTCGTTATATCGTGTGTCTTCAATAAAGGTCACTGTAATATCTTTCAGAGCTATTGTCTGAATCTCGATATACATGCTAAAAGGTACAACTTCCTTAAGTTTTGTCTCCATGAGTGTATTTCTGTGAGACAGGGTTTCTTAAGAAAGGCCTTACCTAACTCCAAATTAGCGAATTAGTATGCAAAATATTAAGGTAACAAACTTCTTTCCTGATTAAACTTCAAAAATATTATATTTTCAAATAAAGATTGTTTGGTATTTTTCTGTATATCAAAAAAATATATATATAATAATAAATAATAATAATAATAAAAAGAGATGAAAGGAAAAAAGGAATATGGGTAACTTCAGATCTTAGTTCAGCAGAAAAGTTTAGAATATCGTTTTGCGTATCGAAAAATGCAAAAGAAGATGACTATAGGAAACATAGTGTTTGTGATGTCTCTACACCAAGACTGTATATAGCTACATTACATATTGGCATTTTCTATCATTGTTTTTTCTTTCTTGGACTCCGGGGCAAGTCTATTTAAGGCGATATGTCTTGATGAAAAAAAAATGATTTTTTTTTTGAGATATTCGAATTAAACATGACGCACTATAAGGTTATCCCAAAAGTTCGTGTTTTTCTTAAAACGTTTTTTTTTTCTTATTACTTGGCGAATAATATTATTACGGCGAATATATAATACAATTACTTTATACACAATACAAAGACATTATACATAACGGCGAATAATATTAGTATTGCAAATTTTTGCAAGTGTTTACGAACTTTTAGGACAACTTTGTATTTGTATGCTCCGTTTTGAATCCCAGCAAAAAATATGAAATGAACTTTCGCAATAATAATAAAAAAATTCAAAAGATAAAATATCAGTGGTGCAAGAAGCTAAACTGATAGTTACATGGAAGAAAGCAACTGGCTGCAACGTTGTTTAATTTAGGATGTTTAAATAAGAGGGCAACATGCGCTTGGTGATAGCGGCGGGGAGGGGGGGTTAAATTTAGCGGGATTTGAGGGGGGAGCAGAAGATGCTACTAAGAGACCAGACGATTGTGTAGATCACGTGATAATTCTCGCCACACGCCGGTTATTTCTGCCAAAATATTTGCTGAGCCAAGCTCAATAAATACCACCAGGCGGCGGTTAGTTATTACTCTGTTTTTGGGGAGTCAAACGAAGTTATGATTTTGTTTTTAAAATAGAAATTCTTTAGATGTTTTTTTTTTTGGCTGTCAAATAAAATTCCCTGAATATATTAACGATTTCAGAGAATTTTCGTATCAATTTTTTTACCAGTATTGATAGGTAAAAATATTGTTTGAAAAAGATATTAGTGTTTGTATATGTTATACTGTTTAATGTTTGATACGCCGACAGCCTTGCAACATTGAAAACACCAGTTCTCGCCCGTTCACCCAAGTTAAGCAACGTCAAGCCTGGTCAGTACTTGGGAGGGTGACTACTTGGGAATACTGGGTGCTGTAAGTAATTTTGTTTACACTTGGTTATCTGGTGTGTCTTCAATAAAGGTCACTGTGTATCAAATATCTTTCAGATTGTCTGAATCTCGATATACATGTGAAAAAGTACAACTTCCTTAAGTTTTGTCCATGAGTGTATATAGGGATGTAGTGGTATTTCTATACGCCACACTTTCTAGCCCCAGAAAACGGAGAAAAGAGGAATGTAGGTAAAGTCTAACCGACATAGGTGACCCAATGTTGTAGGAGGACAAACTTATAAATCGACAAGGAAAAATCGATTAGGGAAAACGAAATAAAAAAATGGAAAACAAAGTGGACCATAAAATGGGTCAAAATGAAATTTCACTGCTAACATTTATATTGAAGGAACTCTATCTAATCAGGCGTTGGACAATTATTTGGAAATGTCGCGGTTATCTCGTGACGCCATCTGGTGGCCTTAGATTACCTTTGGTCACAGTTCCTGGCAGTGTTGTTAGGTATACACTCGTGGACAAAACTTAAGGAAGTTGTACCTAATTAGTTCAATTGACAAATGTTACTATTACGGGTTACCACACAAAAATGGAATATACTAGGGTCTAAAGTAAATGTAACTTGATACACAGAAAAGCGTACACTCAAGAGTACAACACCAACAACAAGAAGGAAGTCAATAAAACTCGCGATTGGTAAAATAAAACAAAACAGTATTTATCTTTATTGTAGCGTTGGTAGGGATCGGACTCGGGTCACACGGGGATGCGAAGAGATCCCCAGACACAGAAAAATCACGTAGAAAAACACTTTAAGCGTCTCCACACCAATTCTCCACGCTCTGGGCCCCCTCGCATTCCCTTAGTCCCCTCGTATATACAGACATGGCCATATTTGTCCAATGAGAAGGCGTGAGAGATTAGTTAACTAACAAACGAAGACAACATTCTTCCCGCTAAAAACTGATCAGAAAAAAAAAAACTGAAAATGTTTGTCGATATAATTTGACACATTATATGTAGAACGACGTTTAACAAGTTTTACCGAAAATGTTTATTTTTACAGAACGAAAAATCGTAATTTATTTTAATGATAAATAACGATTATGCCTATCCTTAGGGATGAAGTATGAAAGGATGAATTGTGAAGAGTAATGATGAGCGGAAAAATAAAAGTGTCCAGGGATGGGAAACGAACCCACAGTGTTCCGCTTACCGGGAAGATGCCATGTCCACTAGGAATTGTGAAGAGTAATGATAAACGGAAAAATAAAAGTGTCCAGAGATTTATTGTATTATATATATATATAACGGTGTCTATCTGTATGGAATCTTTATGTGTTGAAAAATGAACATCGGTAGAATATCTCTGTGAAAATTTTTGTTTGTTTGTTTATTTACCATTGTGTGTGTGTGTTGCTTGGCTATTGATTTGCATAGTTCCCTATATATATTCAACATTTTATTTGCATACACTCATAGACACGACTTAAGGAAGTTGTACCTTTTAGCATGTATATCGGGATTAAGATATTCTGAAATATATTTGATACACAGTGACCTTTACGAGATAACCAAGTGTAAACAAAATTGCTTCTGTCTCCAAAAAAAAAAAAAAAATTAGACGACCTACTCCACTTCTTTTGTCCATGAGAGTGTATACAAAATTACTGATTAATAAAGTTGAAAAGTTTATTTGAGTACTGTGATAAGTTGTAAAAATGACTATTTTATACCATAAGTATATATCAGATGTGCAGATCTGTAGAAATCGGATCGAAATCTCTTGCGTAGAGACATACCATGATCCAAATACTGACCAATTTGTTTGATAAAGAGCTCACAACGAAATGGCTTTCGCACGTGTAACAAACAATCTTCCAAACACGCCGTGCTGAAATGGCTTTAGGAAAAAGGTGGAGAGAAGATCGTGACACGCCCCAGAAAAACTTCATTACTTGCCCATTAGCGCCACAATAGAGAGGAGTGCATTACAACAAAAAGCTATTGGAATTTCGTAATCGTTTTATCACGTGCAGGAGAATGAAAAGTAGTTTTTTGTTCGACTTTCGCTCGCTATCCGTCCCTGTAACAATGAGACAATTTGGCCTTGTCTTCATTGTTTTAAAGTTGTCGTTGGCGCTGTGATTGGTGCTGAGATAAGGAAAGTGGGTTGGGGTTAGAAGCTCTGGGCCAGAGAGATATGCTGTCTTTGAGGACCATCTCTTGAAATCCTTATTCTATCAAGATTGGTGATTATTTCTTGAACTTCATTCTATCAAGTTTGGTGATTATTTCTTGAATTTCATTCTATCAAGATTGGTGATTATTTCTTGAACTTCATTCTCTCTAGATGAAGAATAATCTCTAGAAACCCTTGTTCCCTCAAAATAATCATTTATTGAAACCTTTATTTTTTTTCTATAGATGGAAGATAGAGCTTCCTGAAATCCTAATTCGCTCTAGGTGGATGAAGAATTCACGAGGCCCTCATTCTTTCTAAATGGAGGATTAATTATAGAAACCTTCATTCTATCTAGATGGAGAATTAATTATTGAAACTCACATTATCTCTAGATGGAGAATCAATTCTTGAAACCATCACTATTTCTCTGGGGGGGTCGGTGGAAGGCTGGTTAAACCGTTTGGTTTACGACCACTACGACCCGGGTTCGAACCCGCATTGGACACTTTTTTCTGTTAAAAAAAAAATGCTCCAATGGCCCCCCGATTCTTGCAAAAGTCCAACCCCACCAGCGAGTGCAAGTAACCAAACGGGGCTCTGGCACATTTGTAAGTGCAAAGTCGAACTGCTTTCACATGTATAGACATGTGGTGCGCTTACAGTAAAAAGCAGTCGCTAACTACCCACCATGATTATCATGGCCTGTACCACGTGTACAAGGGATAAGCAAAATATATATATATATATATTTCTCTATAAACGTAAAATAGATTCTTGAAACCCTCCTTTTTTCAGATGGCGGATCAATTCTTGATAACCTCATTATTTCTAGAAAGGAGAATATTAATTCTTAAAATTCTCATTACAGATAGGGAATTATTCCTTGAAACCCTCATTCTTTCTAGATGGAGGATCAATTCTTGATACCCTCATTTCCTCTATATATCTAATATATCTTCTTGAAATCCTCATTATCTTTAGTGCTTGAAACTCTATTTTTTTTATAGATGGTGAATCAATTTTGAAACTTTCATTATTTCTAGATAAAAGGTCAATTCTTGATACCTTCTTTCCCTATAAATGTAATATAGCTTCTTGAAACGCTCATTCTCTATAGTTCTTAACCCTCATTATTTCTAGATGGAGGATAAATTCTTGAAGCCCTCTCTCATTAATTCTAGATGAAGGATTAATTCTTGAAACCTTATTTATTTCTGATGGAAGGAAAAAATCTCGGAACACTCATTCTTTTCAGATGGAAGATTAATTCTTGGAGGATCAATTTTTTTAAACCCTCATTCTATCTACTAAGGATCATTTCCCTGTGGATGAAGTTGATACATATAGTAATCTTCAATCTATTCTCTTTATGTGACTCGTTGTATGTTGATGTGTGAAAGTATCTCTTGTCAACTTTGTGTGGTAAAATTTTACTGTTCTTAAAACAATATAATATCTGCATCTTCTTATAATACTTAGCATATAATTGTAAGTATTAATTTTTTCAGATATCTATAATTATACTTATCACATGTTGTATAAATAAATGAAAAGATTCGTTTAAAATTTGACACTGTATTAAAGTTAAGGAAACGGGAAAATTAGAACGATCTCAGTTTACTTAACTCTTAGAAAAAAATCCTCAAATTTTACCTACTTTACGGCAGATACGCTCAGGATGTGATGGTATTAGCTCTATATTGGAGACGTGGTTTGATACTGGAAGGTTCTATTTTACGACAGGTGAATTTCCAAAGTTATGACACGCAAACAACAGAAGACAATATGGCTATTAAATGGATATCGGCATGATGAGTAGCAACACTCAAAGCTACATATGATGATGACTCTACAATGTTGTTGACAAGGACAGAAGTATCTATATAGGACAGAGAGACACTAGGTTTCTCTCCATTAATCCTGAAATGACATCAATTTCTTTCAGTTAAGGTCGAAGTCAACTGTTGGAAGAAAAATACAAGTACAGGACTGTGTTGAGTTTACTTTATCCACTGGAAATCACACGTGGTATCGCTAGAGTTAGACTACATGGAATTTAACGTATAAAAACATTTAGGTTTCTTATTTCTAAATATAAGTAACAATACAGCTTATTCTATATTGAAGACATCAATTTAAAATATGTGCAAAGTATAATTTTATGATTGTGAAAGGGCTATATGTATTTAAAATTTTAAATAACTGTATGAATTGTTGCATGAAAATTTCCACTGTTGAATAACTGTATATATTTTCATCACTGTGTGTTGAATGATTATTATTTATTTAGTCAAACCATCCTCCTGGAACATAGAGAAGTCACCAATTACCAACAGAGTGTTTTTTTTCCATTGTTGAATGACTGTATGAATTTTTACCATTGTTGAATGACTATGAATTTTTACCATTGTTGAATGACTGTATGAATTTTTACCATTGTTGAATGACTATAAATTTTTACCATTGTTGAATGACTGTATGGCCTTTTACCATTTTTGAATGACTAAGAATTTTTGACAATGTTGTATGTTGTTGGAATTTAATTATGTTTGTATGAATTATTATCATTCTTGAAGGACTTTAGGTATTTTTAGCAATGTTGAGAATGACTGCATGACTTTTTTTTTAGATTGTTGTGACCCTCTAAATTTTTTTCATTTAATGAATGCATTAAAACATCCTCTTATATTTGTAATTACCATCGTCCTACACTTCTACAAAGCAAATTCTTATACAGAAATAAGGTTGATAGAGGAAGAACTTAACTTTGGTAAGACAACTTCAATATTTGTGAAAGTGAAGAATTGAGGATATCTTGAAAGGTGTTGAAACGTTTCCAGTACA